GCTCTGCAAAAGAACCACCCTCCAAGTTCAACTGAAAGTTTTCATTTGCATCCCTTCATTTTTTTTTGTGCTTTTCCCCAGCTAGCTGCTTCTTTCTCCCCCAATTAGAAGCTTCAGATCCAATCAGCCTGAACTTATAACTGTGGAAAGAAATATTGCTCCAAACTATTTTGGAAAGTTTCTTCTCCATTGTGAAGATGTGCAAACCCACTGTCACAGTTTTAAAAGGATGAGTTGCTTTTCAGAAAGACATTAGTTTAGTGGTTCTATTTAAGGTTTGTAACCATTTAAGTGTGTTTTGGTTGTGCAATGTGTTGTAAAATGTCCCATTACCTTTATGCATTAGATGCTCATTATTTTACTTATTGATAGTTTTAAAGTAATTGAAGTAAATTTGTTAATCTGGTTTCGTTAATTAGTTTAAGTGCAAGCAAAATTAAGGGAGTAGAGTTTACATTAAGTGTAGTTCATTCTAGGACTTGGCATCTTAAAAAAACTCCAAACTTTTAAACTTCATTGTGCATACTTACAGTTGCTTATTTTCCTGTCATACTTACATTAAACATTAAAAAAACAGCTATGAAACCAGATTTCTCATCAACGGAATTCTCGATTCAACAGATAGGCTATGGAGACGAGCACAATATGACATGTGTCATTATAATAAATAATTGGGGCTGTGATAAAAGGAAAATGAGACCTTTAAACCTACAGTATTTATGTTAACAGAGATTATGTGTCAAGTATATGACTCTATTCATCTATTTAGACTATTTTGCTTAGAATGAAAGACCCTTGGGGCCACCAAAGCAGGACAGGGAACGGTCCGACTCCCATTTCTGACACATCTGGCATGTTGATGAGATTTTAATTTGATTACAGTAAACATAACACGTACCTTTGAGGCTGCTTCTGAAACTAGAAAACCACTCTCAAATCCAGTCTAGCGAGCACATGCTGATGGCTGTGATGATATTCTCAATTTATTATTATGACAGACTCTAAATTAGAGCTGGCTCCAGGATATAAGGGGAAGTCCCACCAGAGTGTAATTAAAAAGGTAAGAATATCAATAAAAATAGAGTGTGGTAAATGACCTTCTGAATAATAATCGTTAGTGATTTATGATTGTCGTCAGAAAGCACTGAGAGGGGGTGAAGCGGGAGCTCGCAGAATTTTCATAAATCTTATACAGTATATATTAAATAAGGAATCATAATCCTGAGGTTTATGAGGTATGGTCAAATATAGCAACAAGAGGTAATAATAATACTTTATACATACATACATATAAATACATACAAACATATTTCATACATACTATTCAAAGTAAATTCAAAATTGTTGGAAAAGTCAAGATTTCAGATATTTATGATTCATTCAAGGTCCGAAGAGTTTAAAATACTTCTGCGGCACACTGCAATATAAATGTCTGTCTTGTCTGATCAGGGTGCATTGTTTGGAAATCAAGCATGTCAATTCCATAAAGCCACAAAGATCGTAAAAACAGCTGGACAATTGTCGTCCTCTAATAAGAGATGGCACAAAGAGAATCCATGGGGAAAATGAACATTGGCAATGTTCTTGTTTTTATTCTCGCTGAGAGGTAAGTTCTGACTTCTTTAAAAGGTCAGGGACATCAGGTAAGTCCTGCTCTGAAAGGTCTGACTGGTGTTGCATGCGCTGACCTGTGAAATATCAACTCTATATAGGACCTGCCACTGCCAAAATGATGCAATTTGAAAGTATGTCAGCGCTCACCCTTGCATGACCCCCCTAGGCAGCAATGTCAGGTAGAAACAAGCAGTGGAGGTTAGTGGTCCAGAAGCAACTATATGCCGTTATAGAGCAGGTACCTCTGATCATGTTATGTTTGAATAGAATTATCGCTAAATTCTATTTACAGTCAAACAGTGCAAATACTTGAAGAGCAATTGCTCTATTCACATTATCTTGAAAATACAGTCATTTCTAACAGAAAAAAGCCTGATTGGGGCTCATAAAAACTATTCTCATTATCTATCTTTAAAGGAGCTGTATGTTTTGATTTGTTTTGTTTTGTTTTGGACTGTACTAAAGCATAAAAATACTGTAACAATGTTGCAGATATTTAGGAAACGTGCTAAGTTCACATTATTGTTTCTCCAAAAAAACAATGTGTTTCGTATCAGAATGTCTGTTTTTGTTTTGGTCTACCCACTGCCAATTTACTCAATAGGATTTTGACACTCCGGGTTGCCAGTTGCCAGAAAACACATCGTATTGCAGCCTTTGAAGCCAGCAAATGAACTGGGTCAGAGATCGCAGATTCTATGACCTAAAAAAGCCTCGACATCCATCTAAAAATCTCTATGACTAGAAGCAAAATAAAACACGGATGAATAAATGCAACTTTTCACCTTCCATTGACAATTGCGCTTGTTCCTGCTGCGTATCCTCAAACTGGCAACCCGCATGAGCGTTGAGTCTGAGGAGGAGGTGGCGGGAGGAAAAACTCTCTCCAGTACTTTACATTTTGACTACAGTAACCATTCCATACATACTGCTCCTTTAAACTAACTCCTATCCTATTAAAGTACAACAACGTTTCAGAACTTAAGAGTTCCGTTTTGCATCTATTTGTTGCTAATGAATTATAAATAAGGTATTAGGTGTTTCCTCCTCCTCCGAGAACCCAGGATGTTTGCATGAGACAGAGGCACAGTGCTTAGAGCAAAACAAGCATCAGTTCTACTGGCACCGATATTTCCTTCATATCCATACACAGAGGGGTTCATTCACTTTGAATATTATCTGGAAAAATGACTGATCCTGCTCCATTGTTTAAGGTCATGCTGTTCATTAAAACTGGCACGCGGTTTCTCAGAGCGATGCTCGTGCCCTGACCTTTCTCAAAAAGTCAACAGCTGTCTAGTTTTCTTCTAGCGGAACTAAACTTCACCAGTTGCTCCTTCAAAACCCACCTCCATCTTAATTGAACTTTGATCTCAAATACGAATGAAGATATGTGGGCCCTGAAGTGTATTTTATCATGAAACACCGTCAGTGACCAAAGCTAAATGCATATGCAGAAAGAAAATAGCAGGCGGTGTCAGGATTACGCTTGTTGTTAGCCTGTGTAAATGAGCAAAGAACTCCCCAGAGGCCTGATTTGTGGAAAACTGAGAATTAGCAAGCCATCATTTTGTCAATACATACTTTCATTGCTGTGGGAGCAGTCATTGTGATGTATTAAAACAGAGGCTGCACAGATCCACAGGGTTTAGCAGGCTAAATTCAGTCTTCATCATGACAGTCGGGTCTGTGTTTGCATTTGCGAAACTGTTGATTAAAAGTGGAAAGGCTAATGTGTTTAACTGCTCTATTTCTTTCTCGCCATCTCCAACTAATATTTTCTCTGCATTTTATCATTTCAAATTACATGCATATCAGAAATAAAATAAAATAAACACAAATTAAATTAAATTACTACTGTTACAGATAAAATTGATATTTTAATGTTATTTATGTTATATTTACATATAACAGATGAGAAATTGACAATGTACTGTAGTGTAAAATCTTACATTCTTTAATATTATATACAGTATAATTGACTTATCTTTCCAAAGTTGACGAAATGCACAGTAATTACTTAATTGCACAATGATTAAGGAGTAACATAGACCTGTCATACCTTGTACTTATATTGCACATAGAATAAGACACATCCTTTACTAGGAAAATCATTCAGTGTATTCTCAGAAAACCCATTAACCTTGAAAGCCTTCTGCCCTACAGCAGCTCATGAAAAGAGCACTGCACTTGTCATCTCAAATCAGACGTCATCGCAAATCGTCAGACTTAAGCACCTCAATACAAAGCTTCTCTCTGTCCAAATTGAAGTGTTCAGTTGACCGTGTGAAAGATAAGGCTGCTCCTATCGCTCTCAATTGCACAAAGCATCCAAAAACACTGGTAAACGAGAATCTAACAGAGGCAATAAGGATTGCAAAGGGACGACAAAATAAATTGAATTTAGATTGTAGAGGAATTTTATGGCTTGGATCAGTGTCAGAGACTTTTTTTTCCTGCTTTAAATATGGAGATAGTTAAGAAACAGGCTATACATAACTGGCAAAGATAAGATAAGATAAGTTGTCCACATAAAAATGTGTCAATAAATTTAAATTGTGAATGCAAATAATACTGTTTAATACAGGTGCATCTCAATAAATTAGAATGTCATGGAAAAGTTCATTTCAGTAATTCAACTCAAATTGTGAAACTCGTGTATTAAATAAATTCAATGCACACAGCCTGAAGTGGTTTCAGTCTTTGGTTCTTTTAATTGTGATGATTTTGGCTCACATTTAACAAAAACCCACCAAATCTCAACAAATTAGAATACGTCAAAAAGCAACCTGGGCTTCCATACCACCTCAGCAGTGCCACAAACTGATCACCTCCATGCCACGCCGAATTGAGGCAGTAATTAAAGCAAAATGAGCCCCTACCAAGTATTGAGTACATGTACAGTAAATTAACATACTTTCCAGAAGGCCAACAATTCACTAAAAATGTTTTTTTTATTGGTCTTATGAAGTATTCTAATTTGTTGAGATAGTGAATTGGTGGGTTTTTGTCAAATGTGAGCCAAAATCATCACAATTAAAAGAACCAAAGACTTAAACTACTTCAGTCTGTGTGCATTGAATTTATTTAATACACGAGTTTCACAATTTGAGTTGAATTACTGAAATAAATGAACTTTTCCACGACATTCTAGTTTATTGAGATGCACCTGTACATTGTGAATTCTTGCTGATGTGCAAGTGGCATGGTTGAGATGGAACGGTTCCTGAAGGGAATACTATTGCTCCTCACTCTAGGCAAAATCAAGCAACTCCGCTCTCCATCGCTCACATACTTTGCCTGGGATAGATGTAATGGAGAATGGGAAAAGAGCTGAGATGGGAGGAAAGATTTGTGAGGGAGAGGAAGAGATGGTAGCTTTTAGCTCACCTCCATAAAGTGCTTTCCGTTACACTGGCAAGGTGAAAGTCATACAGCTTGGTGAGAATCAGAATCACCTGTGAAAAGAAAATCAAAAATCAAATAAATCTATATATCTGACCTATTTATTACTCTTATTCCACTCCATCACATTTATATTCATTGGAGAATTGCAGACAGTTTCTTTTTCTAGCCAATAAAAAAAGAACAGCTACACGAGAATGTACATGTTTCAAGGAGCAATTTCCAGGACAGGTACAGTAGCAAACAATTCAAGTTAACAATAACAGTTCTAGAGCTCAAAATGAACTTTATGATATTTCATGATCTTCAAGAGCTTAAACATAAATAAATAAATATATAAATTGCCCACCGCATATTAACAGATAAGAACAAATGAGTGTTTTTCTCATTTTATATTGTTAATTGAGCAATATACTGTTGCTTGATCAATATTAGCAATATTAAACAGCAAAAGGTATATTAGACTGTTTACACTGCATGCAAACCTACTGATGCAATATTGTATAAATAATGTTTTTCCTGTCTGTTTACATTTACACAAGATAAACTAAGCATTATTACATCAATGCATTGCCAAGTTGGGGTTTTTATTTTAATTTAACTTAAAGCCAAAATACAAATTTTAACATCTACTCCTCAGTAAAGTTCAGAAAACTTCTTTAAAGCTATTTAGAAGCCAGTGGCGCCTAAGGGCCGGTGGATAGCTAAGCTCATTTTCCAAAAGCCCTTCAATTGTTTGTCTTCCCGACCCCCGTGATGTTGTGTTTACTTCTCTTTTGTGTCAACAAGCGGGACTCAATCGGCCTTCGAGGCTTTAAGCCGGGTGGGATTGTGTTTGATAGTTCTCAACCCTGACCTTGGGCTCTATGATCTGTGAGAGCTTTTAGCCTCAGGGTCAGTGAGAATACAGCAGGAGCTGCTGAACCAGCCATCCAGAACGTCAAACACTCATGCATGCACGCGCATCACACATTCACAGTGCTGACCCCGTGAAACACCTCAACAAAAGAATAAAAGCTTATAAAATGTGCTTTCACAGTGTTTTTCTGCACTTTATGGTGCCCCGTAAGGGAGGGTGGGGTAAGATGTGTCACCCTCTTAATCTAGCAAATACACATTCATATACAGCTGCCTGGGCTTATTTAGGTCTAAAGGCCCGTTCACACGATCAATGATAACCATAAAGACAACTATAGTGATAACTATATCAGCACACCAACGGACAATGACATTCTGTTTATTGTAAGCGTGCACTGCAGTTCTGTCATCTGCCGCATTAAATACTTGAGCAGGTTACGTTTTAAATACTAAAACTATCTATGGTTTGACAATAAATAAATACATTTGAATTACATCATGCTTTAGTAAACATTTTATTTTTATATTTTACTTTTATCTTATAATATTTTATTTTGTTCATTTAATTTTTGTACTTGTTAAATATATAAAAATTCAATAAAAATATATTTTTATATTTTACTTTTATTTTATAATATTTTATTTTGTTATCATTTCATGTTTAGTTTTCCCCACTGATTCAACTTAAAGGGATAGTTTACCCCAAAATGAAAATATATCTAATATACTGTGGAAGTCAGTGATTATACCGGCAACTGCTTGGTTACCAAGATTCTTCAAAATATTTTATTTTGTGTTCAACAGAAGAAATAAACTCATACAGGTTTGGAACAACTTGACGATGAGTAAATGATGACAAATTTTATTTTATTTTTGATGAACTGTTCCTTTAATGTGAAGTAAATCATTTCATTAGACAGCTGATCACATGGAAGATGTGTTTACAGTTGTTGTTGTTCTTATTTAGCATTTTATTGAAGATTGTATCCCTTTATTCTACCATGTAACCAAATAATCAGTCATATCCTGAGCTTATAAAAATGCATACACTGAATTATAGACAAAATAGTGGTCTAAAGGCAATAAGCACAGAATGAATTTAGCACAGTCAATACACTCTCAAAAATGGGAGATTGACTCACACCATGACTTTATTACCTTTGAAACCAAAAGAACGTACATGGGCTGCATCACATTAAGCAACAGACATTTATATAATTAATAAAGGGCTCAGTGCTTACATTTGCTTAACAAATGCAAGGCGGAAGACAGCAACTGACAGAGGGCGGCCATGATTATAAGTCACCGTTGCAACACATTGTCCCTCACGTTGACATTTTACATAATTACGGCCATTTCCTTCTGTCAGATGCTGCTGTGTTTCCTGTGCAGGTCTAGGTAGGTTTGAGATGATGGATTTCATTTGCATATTCATATTCATTTTCCTTTGATAGCTTTGCCTAGTGTAAAACAGGCCTCTTCCCTGAAGCAGGGCGACAAATAAGCTGTCACTTTGAGTCATGTTGGTAGTAGCGGCTACTCCGTGTCTGTTTGAGCAGATAAAAGTCATGAGACATGAAAAAAAATGTATGAGAGGAGAAAAAGTAGCTTATACCCTTTTCAAACCCTGTTTCTTCACAAAACAAGTCTACTGTACAACCAAATGGCTTCAGCAAAAGCCAAGGCCAGCCATGCCACCTAACAGACGGACACAGATATCGGTAACTGGGTAAAAATGGTGTCTAGGCTCATGACCTTCACTCTAAATATGGAGAACAGATTGTTCAAACCAAGAAAGATCAGTAAACCACAGAGATGCAAGTCACCTAAATAAGAAGAGAAACAAATTATGGGAAGAAATTTGGAGTCTTGCCCAACTTGGTTATGAAAGAATCACAAGTTAGTTAGGAAAAATCACAACCTCTGAACTAGTGTTGCTTTCGTCAATGAAAATTATGACTAAATATCGTCTTCAACGAACCTTTATCACGTGACGAAAACGAGACGAGACGCAAAGCAAATGCTGGTCATGTGACGATGACTATAATTAAATGTATAATGCAATATCGTTGACGAATAAAAACGAGACTAAATGTGGTTTACAAAATAAAAACTATGCTAAAATGTCTCTTAATTTTCGTTGACCAAAACGAGACGAAACGAAATGTTATAACGTTATTTCGTCTCGTTTAGTCGCGTTATTATTATTATTTTGCAGTATTTCTATATCTTGTGTCTCACTTCAGGGGCTGCATCAGGTCGCACTGCGCAGACGCAGGCGACGTCACTTCCTCAAGCCCCACTCGTGGCATTATTTAGAAGGCGACAACAAACAAAGTTAAGTCTGACACAGAGAAAGGGACCGATGGTTCGTCTTTGGGAGAAAAAGAAGAAATTACATTTGGAAAAACTTTCATTGCATAGAAGTGGAAAAGAAAACGGAATGTGTTGTGGAAAACAGGAAAAAACACCATGAACCTTAAGAGACATCTCAAGGCATTCCATAATGAAATTGAGGTAAGTCAAGACATTAATGTAACATTACTTTCTATTTTAGAAAGCTCATGCCAACTCATGTGGCTGTGGTTAATGTGTCTCAATTTAACGTTAGTCTTTGGGAGAAAAAGAAGAAATTACATTTGGAAAAACTTTCATTGCATAGAAGTGGAAAAGAAAACGGAATGTGTTGTGGAAAACAGGAAAAAACACCATGAACCTTAAGAGACATCTCAAGGCATTCCATAATGAAATTGAGGTAAGTCAAGACATTAATGTAACATTACTTTTTAGAAAGCTCATGCCAACTCATGTGGCTGTGGTTAATGTGTCTCAATTTAACGTTAACTTTAAAGTTAGTCACTGGAGCTGAAAACGACTGAGACAAACGTGTGTGACTAGCGTGTGTGTGTATATTTGTTTGTGAGAGAGTGTAAAGTGGGTTAACGTGTGTGTGTGTATGTGTGTGTGTGTGTGTGTGTGTGTGTGTGTGTGTGTGTGTGTGTATGGTATGGATGTATTCTTGAGTCTATAAGGTAACAATAATATAATAAGATAACCTTGTTTGAAATGGGTTTGGCTAAAAGAAGATTTTGGTTTCGTCTATACTAGGCACTTATACAATATTGACTGGGTTAAATAGAATTGCATTACTAAAAAGATACTAAAATACAATTTTCATTGTAGACTGAATAGACTAAATGTCATCAGTTTTCGTCGACTAAAACTAGACTAAAATGTCATCCGTTTTCGTCGACTAAAACTAGACAAAAATAGTCATGGATAATTCTGACTAAAATAAGACTAAAATGCTCAGACTTTTAGTTGACTGAAACTTGACTAGACTAAAAAGAGTATGAACGTGACTAAAACTAATAAAAACTAAAATGACAGCTTCACACAAAGACTAGACTAAAACTCAAATTAAAACAGGCCGCCAAAAACAACACTACTCTGAACCCTTTTACTCCCTCTTAACTGTCGAGCACTGTTCAGAGACCCCAAGGCCATTTTAATATAGATTAACATTAAACAATTTAACAAGAGAAAAATCCTCTGAAAATATGGACTTGATCTAGAAATTGAGAGAGAAGCACTTCAAAAATCTTGGAGAGAGCAGAAGATATGCAGACACTGCAATATAAACCATAAGAAGATTAGATATTTTATTTTTATCCTTTTACAAGTACTAAGCTTACTATACTATATTTATCTTTTCTAAAATGTATTTTTATCAATTATTATTTAAACTTAGATTGTTAGATTGCATAGAAACTCCCAGACATATTTGGAGTGGATGAAAGCCACAAAGCCAGAAGCATATATATATATATATATATATATGCTTGCCATTAGCAATATAATGTAAGAAAGAGAGAAAAATAATTGAATATAGGGGTATGAGAGCGAGACACACAGAGAGATTTCTTGTTGTCCCTTGGGGCTTCTATTCTTTACTTAGTGAAAGCACAGACGACTCAGCTGCAGTGGCATTTTACACAAGGCTTCAACCTCTTGATGCCATTCTGCCTTGTATTTTTCATCTGATCAGCAGAACTCTTGCTGACAAATAAAGCACAGATCTACCTCTGATGACTGGTGCTCAGCATAATATACAATAAACCACTACAAAACAATCAGATATGAGTTAAAGGTCATAAATGTTCCAAATCTGAATTGAAACATAACTTTTTTTTTT